TCTTATATATATATATATATTCAACCAATAATTTTCGATGTGAAATTGTGAATCGTTAAAATAATAGTCTAAGTTGTATCTCATGCAACATTTAATTTTAGAAAATATTATCTTTTTCATTCAATTTAGCACTGTGGCATATATCTTTAATTTGGAAAAAAAGATTATATGTGGCATAAAATACTTTTAAATTACATATTTGAATGGATTAATACACAGTGATTCATGGACACATACTCCCAACACACATCTAGAGAGAAAAAGAGATTAAAAAATAAAAATAAAAAAACATAGCATTGTTTAAATTGTTTATGTGCCGTGTCCACCGGTTTTATGATGTTGCGTGGTGTAACTGTATAGTGCGATGACGGGTCCAAAACTAATGACGAGTTAACGTCCAAAACAGGAAGAGTTAAACTAACTGTAATGTGTTTAAGTTATATTTATTATTATTATTATTATTATCAAGATGTGTTTTAGTTTTGTACTATCGTAGAATCGAGCTTAAGCTTGGTACTAAAGTGTTAAATGACATCGGATGAACGCTACTAGACATCGGCCAGAACGAAGGCCTACTATCTGAACGGATCATAACCGACTTCGGGCCCAAGGTCCAGGTAAACCCTAATTCATACAAAGGTACGTGTATTATATATATGAGACTCATACACCCACAAATACTAACTTTAGTATCAGAGTCTCTTTTACAGGTATCACCTCCACTTCAGAACAACCGACGTACTCAGCGAATGAAACTTATCAATCTTGCCTAACAGATCGTCGTTCACAACCAATCTCCTTCTATGAACCTATTTATTAACTAAAAAATAAACTTGTTGACCTATTGTACGGTCTCTCAAAAAATATGAGAGTTGATTTAGTATTCTTAAATTTAATTTTTATTTATATTAAAATAATATTTGATTTGTAAAAAATCTTGTTTTGTGAATATAAATTTATCTTTAGTTGTCAATTTTAGATATTAGGTGAATCATTTTTATAAAATAAATAAATAATTATTGATAAATTTTGCTTAAATTAAATGATGAAAAATTTGCTTACGCTACGTGAAATAACACGGAAGTGTAAATTGTAGTATTGTTCTTCTTGAAAATGAGGTTGGATCAAATAATAGTAGAATTAGATGGTGGGAAAAGAAATTTAAAATATTGCTGCTGTGAAATAATACGTATTAGTAATATTAATTTTGAAAGCACATGTTTAGATTTTAGTCTAGATAGTTTAAAAATAATTTGTTTTAAAGTAATTTCTTTCTACTTTGTGAATTAAAATTAGGAATTGTGTATTAAAATCAGTTATAATAATTTTTTTGAATTTTTATTCAAACATAACCTTTAGCTTTGCTCAAGATTATATTGGATTAATAGAAGAAGATGGTAGAGAGGAAAATTCAAACTTAATACTATTATATTATTTTTTAAAGTGGTAAAATAGGAATGAATTTTATTTCCCCCCAATTTAAAAATAAAATGGAATAATGAGAATTTTATTTCATTTTATCATACAACATATTTAAATAATGGAATAAAATAACCCCAAGTGTGTGGTACAGCGGTAGAGGTTAATTCATTCTTAAGCAATGTCAGGAGTTTGAATCCTAGCGAGGAGAGAGACACCTCAAAGAGTGTGATAGCTGGCCCCAAGATTTAACGCGGCTGCATACACAAGGCAGGATTCGAACCCCTGACCTTGCTTAAGCGTGGATCAACTCCTACCGCTGAACCACACACTTGGGGTTAGCGAGGAGATTAATTACTCCTATCAACAAGGATGAACTAAAAAAAAAATAATGGAATAAAATTTTATTTCGCTACATTCCATGATATTTTAATTTGTTGATGTCTATTTCGTGTTATTTAATTTTTCCATAAACATAAACAAGGAAGAATTTATTTGAAATTATCTAATAACATTTCTATAAATAATACTTTTGAGAATATAATAATAAATTTGACATTTGTGAATATTTTAAAAAATATATTTAATTAATAACTTCCGGTCGAAGTTAAACGAGTTTAGAGTAAGATAAAGAAGATAACACAATTTTTTTATTAATACAAAATATAATAATAATTAACCTTAATAACACCAGATTGATCCGTGTCTCAAAATTGAAGTTTGAGATAAGTAAAAAAAAAATATTCTCACAACAAATTTATCATATATATATATTTTTTAATTTCAAAACAAAGTTGAAGGCGTCAACTCTGAAGCATTAAGTTAGCATAATGCAATAGTGTGTTTTTTTTTCTTCTAAAAATTGACCGATGCACGCAAATCTACTGTGAAGAAATTTCGTTATTAACAAGTAATCGAAACCAAACAATATCAATCATACACGAAATACATTCACAATTCATAAATATTATATAATGTTAGTTCACATGTTAAAGAAATATCAACCTTGAAAAATAAAACAATAAACAAGAAAAATACTTTTTAATCTCTCAATTTTAAAATAAGTATATTTTTTTTGTCTTCAAGTTATCTTTTTTAAAAGATTTAGTCCTCATAATGATCTATTTTAATTATTATGTTCAAATTTTTGGTTAACAAATCTCTCACATAAAACTTATTTATTAATATTTTGACTAGTAAAAATCTCATATCAAATTCAACTACTTCCATACATCTAATACAGTTTGCTTTTATCAATGAATAATGATATTGCATGTAGTTCAACAGACTAAAGCAATTCTTTTTTTTTAAATTAAAAGGCTAAAAAAAACTATTTTTAAATTTAAATAATAATAAGTGTGTGGTTGGTAAAATGTTAATTTTTATGGGTAACCCAACTTTAAAATGTTGTTGCAGTTTGGCGTCTGTGAGTGTAGGCCCGTTTAAATGTTTAATGGATTAGTAAGATCTGCGTCCGCACGCGTAGATTTTCACTTTTTTTTTTTATAGTGAGAAATCATTTTTGGATTAATTAGAACTTTCTTTGATACATCCAAAAGATTAATTAATTAACTTTGACTCTTATAAAATGAACTTTAAAAAATAAAATGTGATTAGTATTTTAATTCGCACAGTATATAGAATTAATGTTAACTTTATATGATTATAATTGATAAAAAAATAAATACTTTTGAATATATAGATAATATTATAATCAAAATTTATAATAAATAAATATTTTTAAACATATAATTTATATTTTAAATTTATAACGAATTAATTTTATTGTTTAAGAAATTCTTCGGTTACAGTTATAGTAAAAATTATATAAGACAAAATTTTGTTAAATTATGATTAAAGTCCTTAAATAAAAAAAATAGGACATGCACTATAGAAAAATTATTCCTATAGAATTCAAATATAACAATTAACTTTTTTAAGGTTGTAAAAAATAAAATCTCTTATTTTAAAAATAGCGCGCTTGAGTTTTTATTTATTTATTTATACATAAATTAAGTTCACTTAAAAATCTGGCTGGTTACTTACGAACATTTTTAATCTATTAAATTAAAGATTGAGTTTGCTCATAGCATTTTTTTTTTCTATTACAAACATTTTTAATTCATTAAATTTAAAATTAATTTTAATCATAGTACTTAAAGTGGTGTCCATCTGGAGAGTTTTCATAGGCCTGAAGAGTTAGAATATAGTTCACCTTTGAAATGACATAAATAAGTAAATTGTTACTCTAACAATTGCAGAGGAGATATTTTTCTAGCCCAAAATATTCAAATGGTAACTAGATTAAGTAAACACATACCAAATACAAACAAAACTAACAATATAGGTAAGTAGGTAAACGATTGATCAAAAGACAAATCTTGAAAAGAAGAGAAAAAAAACATACATCCATTAGGATCTCCATGATCCCCTACACTTTTTCACAAATGTTGTTAGAACAACTATTGGACTTGATTTGTGCACTTCTCATTAATGTTTAATTTGCTTCAGAATTAGATGCTGTTGATGCTTTAATTTTGGCGTCCTTGGAGAGTCCTCTTCCACGCCAATAAAGAAAATAGCGTAGCATATAAGAATCCAGAAATGTTTCAGGAATGGCTTTGATGAGAAAGCCTTGCACAGAATGGAGGAAATAAGGCACAACCAGTTTTTCATAGCCAATACATCTTGTGCATGCTTTACTATAAGTTTCTGGCGATGGTACAAAAAGTGATGTCTTCATTCTGGTCATCTTTGTTGACACAAATAATGGAACCTGCATTTATTTCTCACCACCACATCCAAATATATTACCAAGAGCTAGATACTAATTAAAATATTGTTATATCAACCACCTTAAGACTAGAAGTGAAAAATTATTTTCATTTTGGGTTTAATGATGTGGTGTACTCAGTGTAATCAATCAATAATTAGTTTGTTTGAAATATCGTTTTAGATATATTAACACTCATTTGTCCATCCCAAAACATGAAATGGAAAAATAATAACACTGATTGGTTGAAAATAAACATGAGTTATGTTGTTCAACATAACTGTAACCCAAACACATCCTTATAATTATAAATATGGTTTTAATGTAATTATAGCAAAATCAACAAATTTATCAGGAATGATAATTCGTTGTTAGATAATAATGTAAATCTGTTTTGTGTTATTAGAGAAGATCCTATTGTTTTTAAACAAAATTATTTCCCTTTTAGTATTTTCCATCCTAGTTTAGGAACACAATACTCAACTAGAGATCAAAATCATGATAATTTAGGATTAACTTTTGTTTACCATTCTTTAAAAAGGAAAGAGGAGCAGAGTATTCCAACCTGACATTGGATGTCAATTCCTTGATGTTTGTATTCCAAACTGATGCATCTCGAAAACATTGCAAGGTAACTGTAAAAATAGCAAATAGAATAGTACATCACAGATCTGGATTCAGATTTGTTTTCTCTCACATCCTGATTCAGGATTTGTTTTTGCAATTAAAATTAAAAATAATAACTAAGCAAAAAATATAATCTGTCTTTTAAACAGCAACATTTTATTAGATTGTTTTTTTCAATTGAATTGATAGGAAAAGGACAAGAAAATGAGACAAGTGTGTATAAAATGATTTTAGATTAAATTTCATTTTTTTTTTCTAACCATGTTATTAGTTAAATCTGTCTCATATTTAGTGAGGTCTTTCTCCCTCACCATGTCTTTTCCATATATAAAACTTGAATCTCAGTTTTTGTTTATAAGAATCGAATCTAAATGTACTTAAGACTAATGAAAACTCATATTTAGTCGACATTTAAAGATTTAATTATTATGAATATAAAATTAATTGAGTTAAAACAACTTTAGATAACATTTGGATTAGATAAGAAATTTACACAAATTTTCAGCAATGAAATGTAGGTATAGGAGCACAAAATTTGATGTTATGTAGTGAAACCATTAAATTTTGTAGTTAAAGACGATTTCCCCATCAAAAGTCTTGACTCCAGATCAATGAAATGAAGTCACTTTACTATTCTAAGCAAGGTTTATATACAAGTTGAAACACATAAAACTGAACAAATTATAATGGGATTATCCAAGAAAGCATTATTGTTATAACATTTCCAGGTGCAATTGATCAATAAAACCAAAATCCTTAAAGAAAAAACAAAATCAAACGGATTACCTAAAAAAACATATAGTGTGGTTGTAAATCCATTTTTTTGCCAATGAATGTGAAAGCAAAATTTTTCTTCAATCACATTCATTCTCTCAGAATTTGTTAAACCAAAAGTTAAACGACACTATCAGTATGTGTTTGGATTAACATTCAATTTTATCAAAATCAATTACAAAACCATAACAAAAATTAGTCACTTCAATTTTTCACCCTAATTTCAACATCATAATTAATTCTAGAAGGTATAAACACACCATTAATCATGAACATACTTACGCTTTTGAAGCAGCATAGAGAGCGACTAAAGGGTACGAAGGAAGCACAATTGTGGAACCAGATCCAATGTTCACTATTGCTCCTTTTTTCTTCTTGATCATAGTGGGAATCACTGCCTTTGTGATCCAAGTTGCTCCCTCAACATTCACTCTCACAATAGCATCCATAAGCTCCAAATCCACCTCATGAAAGAATCTAGCATAAGGGTAAGCCAAGCCAGCACCATTCACAACCAAACCAATATCCAAACCCTCTATTGCTTCCTCTATTCTCTTCACCATTTCCACCCCACCAACCTTTTGCATGTCTAATACCACAAACTTGACCTCAACATTGTGCCCATGATCCCTTATTTCCTTGGACGTGGCTTCAAGCTTTAGAGGGTTTCGACCGACCAAGATTAGGTTAAGTCCCTTGGAGGCCAATTCAAGGGTCATGGCCTTGCCAATTCCATCGGTGGAACCGGTTATCATGGCCCATGAACCGTATTCTTTGAGGTCCTTTGGTGGCCTCAAGAACATCACCCATACCCACTTGAGAAATTTGATGAGGGCTTTGCACACACAAATGAAGCCTATGGTGCTTGTTGCAACTAGGAACAAATCTAGCACATCCATTTTATTTTTTTTCCTTTTTGATAAAGTCTAGGAAATTTTCTTACTTTATAAGACTTTTTTAATTATGTCGCCATCAGAAAGTAGATATTTTTTTTGAATTAATTGAATGTTTCATCGACCGGCCTATACTGCGGAGATAACTTCACACAATGTGACTGAATCATGTTAGTAGTGTGGGGTTCACAAAGTACATATGTAAGTTTTAACAATAACTTGATGAGATGCACGTGTTTTGTGCCAGTTGAACAAAAAAATTACTCTCCAGTTGTAAACCAAATGTTGGCATTGCCATTGAATGACAATAAAATGGGCGGAGGCAAAAGAAACCGATTGTAAAACGGGTAGTTTCATACTAAGGGTGGCAAAATGGACCGTGGCTCGCAGGCCGGCCCATTGGTCTGTCAAAAATTGATGGATCGGGCTAGCATTCCAACTTGTCAACCCGTAAAGCCCGCTTCGCCAAGCCGTTAACCTATTGACAATCCTTTTACAGTTTTTTTTTTGCATTTTTTTTAATATAATATGGGCTAGTCTACCGGCCCGTCAACTCGCATTTAAGCGAGACGGGCCAACATTTTCAACCCCGTTTTTCATTGACGGGCCAGTCTAGTTTGACTTGTTTCTGGAGGGTCATTGACGGGTCAGGCCAAAACGGGTCGGATTGACCCATTTTGCCAACCCTATTTTAAACTACTCCCTCTCTATGTCAAGACATTTATACTAGATAAGATATTCAACCAATTAAATCTAGATAAATTTACTTCTAAAGTAAATAGATTCTTCCTTATATATATATATAATATAGAGATGAAGTTTCTCTTTTTCATTAGTCTATTAATTAATTATAATAAACAAATGTTAGTTCGTTTATTATTGTCATCGTACAGTTTAAATTAAACTTCTTATATAATTATTTTTATTAAATCTCAATGTTGGATTTTTTAATTAAAAAATGAATCATGAATCTTGTCACACAAAGATGCATAATATAATATGTTTTAAGGCACAAATTAATCAAAGAAAGTTTCAGAATGCATGTACTTGAAAAAACTCTTAATCTGTCGTCACAATCTTTATCTAACCAATGAAATATTGATCCCACACTTGCAATCTTGATTATAACACGTAGAGATGGGAATAAAAGAAAAAATTACTCTATCTGGTGACTAAGGTTTTCATACAAGTGCATTACAAAAAGAAGAAAAAAATCTAATGAAACAATAATTTTATAGTCTCAATATAAGGGCAGGAACTCTTCATCGAACACCAAATAAAAACCCAATTCATTAGTCTCATGCATATCATAAACTCAAATTGTGCTTAGAATAAGATAAAATTTCCATAATTGATATTATTTGATAATCTAAAAATTATCCAACAATTAATTAACGCTAATCCACACAAATTCCAACAACAAGTTCTTAAAAAAAGAAAAAAGAAAAAAAAAACTTCTATCAGTTACTCAAATGATAGATAAGGGTTTAGAGATTAGTAATGAACATTTTCCTTTTATAATACTGTTACAAAAGTGGTATGATGGTAATACACTAGGCTAAAAGCAATACAAGTAATTATCATAATGAAAGACACATCATATCAAAGTGGTTGTAAGTTGCATTTAATTCAATGATACAGTATTTTAATCTATTTTAAAACTTAAAATGCTAGACCTAACAAATGGTTAAAGTAACTGCAGAGTAGTCTATATCCAAATCCAGAGGGTTAAAATGAAACCAGTATAATTAACCCACGTGACAAGGACGTGCACGGTCCCAACCTAACTGCACAGATATTACTCATGGCCTGAAAATATATATATATATATATATAAAGACCTTGACTTCTTCCTTACACCTCCCAACTCTCCTCCATTGTTTATCTTCTATCGATACTAACCATATATGTTGTAGGAAAAAACATATCAGTAATTTTTTTGAGTAAACAATTTGATCCCTGAAAGTGGTGAACACTGTTATGTTAGTCCCTGTGACTAAGAAAGTGTCAAATAAATCTCTAAAATTTAACTATTTAGTGTCATTTTGATCTTTGAATATCTATCAATATTGTCACTTTGGTCACACATTTTTATGTGTTTTGAATTAATGTGACTGTCAGGGACTTATTTGACATTTTTTTTTTAATTCAGAGGCTAATATGTCAACGCCTTCCACATTCAGGGACCAAAGTGATTGTTTACTAGTAATTTTTTTTTTCTTGAAAAAGTGAAGTTGGTGTGGCAAGGCATCACCAAACCAGAAAACTGAGCATCAATGCTAACGAGTCACAAGTCAGTAGTATCGTGGCTACAGCCTGAGCTCTTGAGAAGATGGTCTTGGTGAAAGGGATCATCTGTACCATGCACAGAACTCAACCTTGGAGAAAAGTTCCACCCTGTCATTTGCTCCAGCTCGTACCCATTTGATCTTACATTGGATTCTTCCTGGAACTTCAGGAAGAACATTGAAGACCAGTAATCTCGCGCCAGATTCTGCACAAGTGAAATGTTTTAGGTTAAAATTATACATCCATGGTCAGACTAATTTTAAGGAACAATCTTAAGATCCTAAGAGCTTAATGGTTATACACTAACAATACAAAAATACTTTTATATTGTCATTCAATGATTCAATTACATTTTACCATCAGTATGAATTTTTACTTTTTAGTTATTAATTGTTAAAGCCAATAAAGTCACCGTACATGGTGGTTTATGATTGGATAACAATGTCAAACTAATATATAACATTAGTGCATAACCTATTTTCTCTGATCTTAAATCGCTACATAACATAATGCTTTTATGTCTTCTAGATATTCATCAACATTTTCTTTATGAAGAGTTGAGAGCATTGTTAGGAGGATGATATGCGAGTATATATCATTAATCAATTCTAATCAAGGGCTTTTGAATCTAAGGAACTTGCTGTTCTCATCAACTGAATGATCTCATTAAGTGCACTGTGGAAGAGATCAGGACGTGCGAGGTTGGAAGTTAACAATATTTCTTGTCTGCTTCTATGAGAGATGTTCACCTCCATAGCCGCACCTGTGAAATTACATTCCAGCCAATATTAAACAAAGTGCCCCAAATTGGGAAGCAAAGATGGCAAGCATGGGATTTTTTTTCTCCTACAACTCTTGGTACTCCGAGTCATTCACCAGAACACCATAGACGAGACAAGCAACTGTGTCTAAATCAAATAGCAGTGTTCATAAAATCTATTTAAGTACAAGCTTAGAAGAGTTTTTGAGAACTTCTCAATTGAAAATAAAATAAAAAAAATTCAATAGAAGAACTGCTAAAAGTACTTCTGTTTTATATTCAAACAGACACATAAAAGGACTGAGAAAACTTATCCTGCAATTTTGAATATTGCAAAAACTGGGCATCATGGAAAAAAAAAACAAGGGATAGGATGAAAGAAGGAAGCCACCTGGAATTAGAATTACAAACCTGCTACTATGTATTTCTCAATAATATGTCGTGCCATATAGATCCTTCTCACACAGTCATCTTCAGGTATTTTACTAAGCTCATATACTTCGTCAAAGAAGTGCACACTTTCCCCAGCCAAGCAACTGTAAGTATTAAAACAATATTACTTTTTTAATTTCAAACAAGACAAAAAAAAAATGCATTTTTTTGCTTCAATTTTGATGTTTAGGTCCAACACTTTCCGGACCTTGTGGGACAAGAGTAGAAAGGATTCATTCTTAACCAAGATTTCATTGTGCAAATTTAACATCTGTTATCTTCCATTTAATGTGTAGAAAATATTACTCATTTTGTCGGAATTGTTTCTTTCAAATATGTCATTTCTTAAAGTGAAGAGAAAACATAGTTCTTTCAAATGTCTGCCAAGTGCCAACATACTGGAAACACAAGAAGGTTACTTTACCTATCAGCAAATGCCATAAAAGACTGCCGGAATCTTTTATTCAATAGAAGCTTATCCAACGGTTCATTAGGATCTACCCTTGAAATTGGCTCACTTTGTGTTAATACCCCACTATCAGGTATTCCAAGAGCCTGGCTCATTGTGCGAAATTCTCTAGATTCTCTTCTCCTCAAGCTGATTTGTGAGAGAAGTGGTTGTGAACTTGATATTGAAAAGAAAGCCACCACAAGTATGCTTGCCTTTAAATAAAACCAACAGAGAATGGAAGTAAATAAAAAATTCACAACATAATGACTTGGATTTTAACTTTGAATCTATTAAGGGTCTATTTGGATACAAGTTTAAAGGAGTTTTTGACAGTTTCTCAATTAAAAATAGTTTTTTTCCCCAGTTGAGAAGCTCTCAAAAACTCTTTTAACCTTTTTATCCAAACAGACTCTAAAAATATCTGTCGTTTCATAGTTATGGAACACAAGAAGCAGTAGGAAAGCATACCACAACTAAAAGCAGAAATCTGGAGGCAACTTCAAGCCATGAGATATTGTCATAAATTTCATTTAGTATGTAAGCAGTAACCCACACAGCTGCCAGAATAAATGAGCAAAGGTTAAATTATTGAGGCTGCTGAGATAAGCCATCCAGAAAATATCCAAGCTCATATTTTATATTTATAACAATAGTTTGAAAATAACTAAGTGGATATAGGATCAGCCAATGCAAAAATGAATATCAGTTGTTTTTAGTCCAGCAGGCCATAGTTAAATTTGATTAAAGAAAATGTGGCTAATTAAGAGACTACATAGTATAGAATCTCTTTTCAGAAAGTAAACTATCATGTATTTAGGGTAAAGCTTCTGCAAATTCCCTAAACACACTAGTTAAGGAATATGCGATATCTATAACATTTGAAAATATGCATCAATGAGCTAACATTAATTTTGGCATCAATTTTTTTTAACTTGAATGTTACTCATTTAGATAGGAAATTTATTTGCTAAAAACCTGAATAATTATCGACTTAATGGTGAATTCAATAACCTTAACAACAACCTCACTGGTTAGTAGGAAGCTAGGAACTTCAGAAAAGAAAATAGAGAAATAGAGGAGTTTCTTATAAAACCTAGGAAAAAGTGTACCAATGGACACGGCTGATACAAGTATTCCCCGCCAGAGGTCTTTGAGTTCATCAAACCTGAACTCTATATGATGAACAGCAGCTGTAACCACAACCAAAATCGCAACGTACAATGAATGGAAACATACAACTGGGATGGTCCATTGAGCTCTCATGTGACAGCGACTGCTTAGAGGCCTCATCAAATGGATAACTATAGCATGAACAAATAGTTTTATTAGAAATAAATAATGGAAGGAAAGCAAACAAAAGAGACAGGGCTAGGACAAGATAGGGGAGTGGGTCCTGGTAATCATTTACAGAAATTCCAAAAGATGTTGAGAAAATCATGGACACAAAGCAGAAACACTTAAAAACATAATAACTGATTCAACTAAAGAGACAAAGTCCAGCAAAATTTTGAAATATAAGATAAGAAGAGATCAAAAGAAATGAAGTTCTATGGATAATAATGATAAACTTACACCAGTTACCTCTACTTCAAGTAGTAAATTCTATGTAATAAAAACTACGGCAACAAGTAAAACTAAATTAATTCAGTCTTACCAGCAGCAATAGCAGTCCAGGGAAGTAGAATAAGTGGAAGAAAAATATATGATTTTATCAGTGGCAAACGCCTCCTGAAAGATTAATAAAGAAAGAAATTGAATACAGGTCAGAAATGGGTGATAACTCCTTTAGTACTGGTTAAGAATTGCAGTGAGTACCAAAAAAAAAAAAAACTAAAAATTAAAAAAAAAATTGAAGCTTCTTGAAGTAACAGGCAAAGTGCCAATTAATTATGGTCAATAATGCCTGCAAATAATCACATCAATAAAAAATCCACAAGCCTCCATGAGCTCAAGTGGATAGTAGTTTCACCATAAAACCATTCGGACAAACAGAATGTTATGATAATACATTTAACAGGCTGTGTGCTGTGTGCTACAGTGGAGGAAAATACAGATTAACTGCTTTAAGCTACGGATGATGAACTTTAGGGTACATTTGGAAGAACTTAAATAAAGTTTATTTAGTCATATCTCATAGCATAATTAATCACTCGTATAAATATTTGGAAGAACTTATGGAAATAGCTTATAATCTATTCATAAGGCTTTTTTAACTTATTTCAGTAAGCTCTATAGATATACCTTATGAAAACAACTTACAGTTTATATAAAAAGAATTTAATCCTATTTTCTATTCAATTATAGAAATAACTTATACAACAATGCTTACATGATAAACACTTGCCCAATAAGCACTTAATTAAGTTGTTTACCCAAACACACCCTTAAGTCATTTAATCGGTATAGAGGCAGCAACTTGCACCAATATGGTCTAAAAACTTAATATCAAGTTGTCACTTACTTGACAAAGATAAAATATAATTGTGAAGCTTGTGTTATGCGGCAGCTCAACAACAAACCGAACCCAAGTGGAGCTTCACCCCAGACTGAAATAAACATGAAAAGCATGGTTATACTAACAAGAATTCATCTTTTCAATATGTATGTATAAACAAAAGAAGGATAACCTCCCCATAGGTAGCACGACTGCAACCAATTTCTCTTTCCAAATTTCAAGTAATTATTTGACATCTGCATAAAAAACAAATATAGGATAGCTAAGCTTGAGAGAACAAGGCAATGCTGAGCTGATACTACGGTACCACCGAACAACTCAAATAGGGATGTTTCTAAAGTTGTCAAAGAAAATAAATGAAAAAGAGATAAAGAACTTATTTCTACCACAATTGATAGAAGTAGGTTGAAGCTGGCAACAACTTGAATTACAGGTATCCAGAAGCCACTGCCTTTGGTTCGAGGAACCTTGTGAACTAGGAAGGGAAATATTGACCACAAGAGAAGCCTGAAAGATAGAAACCAATCAATAGCTTATGCATAAGAAAACAAATGTCACATAGTTTTCTTTATATATTAATAATTTTGAAACAAATGAAATTATCACCGGAAATACCATTTTACTCCTAAGTAGGCCAACCTGATGGGATATGGATTAGTTGGGTGCCAAATAGAAGCCCCAGATGTTTCTTGGTTATACTGATACTAAAATGATACTTATAAGATAAGACTAAAGGTTTGTTTGATTAAACTTCTCCAAGAGCACTTTTAGGAGAGAAAAATAAGAAAGAAAAATAAAATAAGTTTCTCCATAAACTAAAATTAACTTATACATAACCTAATTTGTAGAAACTCTCTGCTATTAGCTTCTTCAAAATCTTAATTTTAACTTATGAATAAACTAATTTTAACCTATGGAAAAACTTATTTCATTTTTTCTCCTTATTTTGTTCTCTTAAAGGTGTTTATGAGGAGGTTTAATGGTTTATCCAAACAGATAGTAAAGGGTAAACTAAATCACCCAACACAGGAATCACATGATTCATCAAAGAGAGAGCCCAACCAAGGAAACTCCTTTAATCAATAAGCAGATCAGATAGGGAAAAAAAAAAGTTTTTAATTCATGGGCATGGTGGGAAACTAACTTGAAATAGCAAGGGGTTAAGGGCATATAAATAACATCATAACTTCTTAATCAGAGCTCAAAATTTACATGGTCATGACATCATACAGGCATAGGAGTGGCCAATTTGGCACAATAACAATGAGCCATTACATGGATAGGGGCAATTATAGTTTAGTGTGAAATTTGGCTGAAAAAAGAAAGAGAAAAAGAGAGAAGCTTACACAATGAAAGAAAAGATGGATAGGGCAATGGCTACATAGTCACTGGGGCAACCTCCTTCCACGGCACATCTCACCATTCTGTTTTCATTTGGAACACTTCAATCTACAGATTCAGAGTTCAGTGTTCACACAGTTGCACTGAATCGAAGCTGAAACATTTCTCTTCTGTTCCTCGTTTGTTCAGTCAACATAGTCCTTCACTTCCAACTGATGTTTGTTTCACACTTTGCTTGCTTCGGAATTTCCCAAGATATCACTGTTTTTTTTTTCTTTTTTTTTTTTTTCTCGTAAGACTTACTACTATTCTTTTATTTAATTAACAAATCCTAATCAAAGTGTTAAACGCAGTGACGTGTACGGAAATCATAAACACAGTATTTTCTAAATATTCATCATGACTCCCACACTTTCATAAATAGTAATGGATCAAGAATTTTTTTATTTATTCAAAAGGTATTTTTTTTATGATGAATTGAATATGAAAATTTTTTAGTAGACGTAGTAGGAGTGGTTAATGGCATGCAAGGAAAAAAAAAGGGCAACTAGTTCCCAAATAGCAAAGATGTTTATGATATTAAAGGGTTTACGGTCAATCTGAGTCAATTAAAAAAAAATCTAAATCAACGTGAATACTCATTTTTAACGAATTTGAGAATTAATAAATACATGAACTTTTTTCATCGGAAAGTTTCAAAATAAGAGTTTAATGGATATATACTCACTAATAGATTACAAATTAACTTTAGTTAACGGTTTTATTATACATGATTAAATAATTTAATATAAAAAAGTTTCACACTGTATATATCCTTAAAATAATAATAAATTTATGTATTTCTTAAGTATAATTGTATTCTGTCATAAAAAAAAGTATAATTGTATTCTTGATTTTCATACTATGATATAAGAAACAGAAAAAAAAGAAAGAAGTGCTTTTACCGTTTTTTTTATTCTAATTCTAATTAAAAGTAAAAATAGCAAATGAAAACAAAAAAGACATTTTGTCAAAGTAAAGGGGACCATAACATAGTTTTTTTTTTTTTTTAATCTTCAATATCCTCATGTCTTTTCCATTATTATTATTTTTTCAGTAATTTGTAAGGAAAGGAAAAATAAAATTAGACACCCCCAAATACCAAATACAACTACACCTAAAAACAGAAAAAAAAAAAAGTAGAAAAATGATAGATTAATATATATATATATATATATATGATGGGAAGAGAAACATAAAAAAAAATAAATAATAAAATTTAGAACATCAATGAAGTATTTGAGTTAGTTGAATGTTCAAATACCATTATTCGTGAACCAATTTTATCAAATCGGTTTCAAATGTCAGGATGTCATTTAAAAAAAACTTTTAGGCACAATACCTAAATTTTTAAATTCATTTTTATTTAAAAAGAAATACACTTTTATTTCAATAAAACTTGCAACAAAAGTCCAAAAGATAAATTTTTTTTCTTTAATTACAGAATAATACTAAAAAATTCGTAATACACTGTACCTAATTTTTCTCTTATATCAAATTATTGACAAAAGTTGAACAACATGGAGGAATAAGAAAAATAAGTGTGATGTTTCATCTAGAAGCGCATCGCATTTAATTAACTAGTCAGTTTACCTCTGCAATGCATGAAAACTTAATTAATTTTTTTATTAATAATAAATTAACTTTTATTTAGTAAAATAAATTTCTTTTTCTATTTTTCCTAAATATTTTTATATGTTATTTAAAAAACATTATAAGCAAATATGTATACACATATATCAAAATAAAAGGAATATTAAGACTTTCTCTATTAAACTTAAAAAATTATTCACTAAAAAAACTAATAAATATACCATTCTACTTTCTCTATATTAATTTTCTTTTGTTGAATTTATCGTACATGATTGAGTTTGTTCAAGATTAACTATTTCATGTACTTTCACTTTATGAGTTGATATCTTCATTAATTGTCTACATAAATAAATTTGTTTTTATTATCAGAGACATTAGAAAAAATATATTATGCATTCATATTAAATGTCATATATTTTTTTTAATTATGCATACTATATTATGAAAAATATATTAAAAGTTCAAATTAAATCACACATTACCTTATTATTTACTAATTACCAATTATAAATATAATGAAAAACAATATGGGAATACAATATATAAATCAATATTAGTAAACAAATATATAACAAAAGTACCATTACTTGGAAGATTCAATTAACTTGATTTGTTATCACCAGTAATTTGAGTCACAACTTGAGTAATTTAAGTTTGTCTTTTCATCCATCCTATATACATGAAAAAATTATTTTTAATATAATTAATTTTAATATTATTGTAAAATTAAGATATAAGAAAAATTATTAAACAATATACTTAAATCATGTATTATTTGATGACATCCAATTCTGCATCTTTATTTCATAAAATATATTTGATATTTTCATCACTTATGAAATTAATATGAATTAAATATTATATTAATATTAATAATACTTTTGAAATTGTTTCAAATATTGAAGGAAATATATATTTTATCTTTATCTTTATATTTATTTAATTTACAAAATTGAAGAACTAATACAACATAACTAATTAAACGATTAATTCAATTTTCAGGATTAATTACCTTTATTACTAATAATTAGTAGTTATATTTATAATTATTAATACTTAGTAAATAGTTATTAATGTATAAGAGGTGTTGATATTAAATTTATCTTTTGCAAAATTTGTAAATACAAAACGATTAATTCAATTTTCAGGACTAATTACCTTTATTACTAATAATTAGTAGTTATATTTATAATTATTAATAATTAGTAAATAACTACTAATGTATAAGAGATGTTAATGCTAAATTTATCTATTGCAAAATTTGTAAATACAAATATATTGAAGTAACATTTTTATAAGTTATTTACTATCGGAAGAAATAAATATTTAGAACATATTTATTGGAGGGAATTATTAAGAAGAAGTTTTATATGAAAAAAATAGTAGTTATTAGTTTATTTTATTTTTATAATAACATTATATAGAAAATTTTTGGAGGGAATTGGAGGGAAAGAAATTATTGTAGAATTTTTTTCTTTATATTATTAATTAAATAATAGATAACAT